ATTATTATTATTATTATTATTATTATTATTATTATTATTATTATTATTATTATCACAACAGTCGAAATTGTCTAAGACAGCCATTTATTATCAAGGAGAAAAGTGATTGTCGTAGATATGTGGACATCTTACAAAGTGCCGTTGTAGTTGTATGTTTAAAAAAAACACCATAAAACGGGGTGGAGGTATGTGGGTGGGAACTGGCCGTTTGTACAGGTGACTGTCTTACGCAGGTGGATGTTAAAGCAGGTTCGACTACACTCGATAAAAACTCTTTTCCTCTCGGGAATCGAACGCACATCTTCTGAGTACAACGGCCTTGTGCCTAACCATGGAACCACTATACCGTTTGGTTAGTTGACATTTTCGGTTGATTGTTTGTCTGATTAAAACTTGAATGAGAGGGTGAGGGGGGGGGGAGGGGGGGGAGGGTGCCTTGAATAGAGGTGGGCGTATCTGCTAGTAGAATCTCTAACAGTTAATAATCTTTTTTTTTTCGCTTGACCCCAGCTGTCTTTTAGACCCACTGCAAGCAGAATCGTTGATTCAAATAATTTTGTTTCAACATGAGTAGGCTTAGATCAGGTAATCAGGCGCGGTTCGTCCATAGAGCACGGTCGTGCAGTGCCGCCCAATTTTTTAAAATGTTCTATTACGAAAAGCATCAACAAACATAAAATAAAAGAAGTCAGAAACAAGCACTAGCCAAATATTATTTCAAAACATGGTCGGATCGCTGGCACATTAATTGCCATTTCTGTTTCAAAAGCGCCGTAAAACATCTACAGTGGAAACCATATATAACAGGCCCGGTAATAACAGGGATCCGGTAATAACAGGGATTTTTGGAATACCCGTTTTTTCCTTCTCTTTCTCTTTATTAAAAGTTATCGGCAATAACAGGGCCCCATCGGAGCCTAACCGGTTATAGCAGGGACAAAGGGTCGTTAACAATGTGTAAAAAGTAAAAGAGAGAGAGAGAGAGAGAGAGAAAGAGAGAGAGAGAGAGAGAGAGAGAGAGTAACGCAGTGATGGAGCAAGCACACGCAAGCCACGCCACTGCAAGCACACACAGCGTGTGAAGCGAGAGAGGGCTGCGGTGTGCTGCAGACCTCGATCTAGCCAGAAACCTAGCAACACGCACGCGTAATGTGTCACCAACGATGTCAAGCGCAAGAGAAAATGCCTTTCAATTGACAAAAAATACGAAATAATCCAGGCTGTTGACAAAAGCAAGCTCCACTTGCAAAGATTTGTCGTCAGTTCGACATTCCACAAGGGTCGATTCACATCATTATCAAGGATAGAGAGAAGATAGTGGCAGCATACTCCAATGGAAAGTTTGCTCTGGATCGAAAGACGATGAGACTACCTGATGCAGATGCTGCGGACCAAGCTCTTCTGATGTGGTTTTAGGAGACAAGGAGAAAGTTAGTGCCAAAACCCCTGTTTGTGGGTAGTTGTGGCAAGGGCAACTACCCATGAACAAGTACAGCTATATTAGTCCACAAATGCCTACTTTCCTTGCATTTCGGATTTAACAGGGATCGGATATAACAGGACATTTTCTCTTCTCCCACCATCCCTGTTATATCAGGTTTCCACTGTACTATGCCATGCCAAAGTCCACACGCTTTAATTAAACACAGTAGGATATTCTACAATTGTAACCTGACCTATAAATCGCTCTTTGGGATAACCCAAACGATGACGACACTCGTAGAGAGTTTGGTGGTACATTAATATTAATAAGACGGCACATCTCAAATGTGCCCGAACGAAACATAGCCCACAGTAGGCAGTCTAAAAATAAACGTGATAGACCGCACCATATTCTATGCTAAAATTATGTGATCCCCGGAGCAATTCAGCGGAGCGCTCATAAGTGAATTGTGATTGGTTCATTGTCTTGCCACTATTTTAAGCGACTCTGTGACCGTGAACCTGAGGGAGGTGAACGTGACATACTTAAGTCACCGTCCTGTGTCCTGTGAGTTGTGCCTTTGAATGGTTTCGTAGTGGAGTGGTGAAATTTATTACTTGAGTGTTCAGTTCCAATGCAGGGTGAAGAAACTGATGTTTAGCTAACAAACATATTATTTAGTTCTAGAAATCAAAGCGACAATCCATGTACTATGCCCATGACTATCTTCAACCTGCTATAGCTTAATTGTGCACGCCCATTTTTTAGCCCCACGAGCCGCCCCTGCAGGTAATGGTTCCACATAAGATTAGAATGAAATTTTAGAAAATATTATGAATGTTTAAGATTATAAACTGGCCAGTTGTATCTAGTGTTGTGTTTTTTAATTTGGTCAGTATATATATATTATTATATATTATTTTTGTATGATACAGAGAGAGAGAGAGAGAGAGAGAGAGAGAGAGAGAGAGAGAGAGAGAGAGAGAGAGAATAGAACAGAGAGACAGAAAGAGATAATACATGGTTGTGTATATGTATGTATGTGCGTGTGTAAGTGTGTGTGTGTGTGTGTGTGTGTGTGTGTGTGTGTGTGTGTGTGTGTGTGTGTGTGTGTGTGTGTGTGTGTGTGTGTGTGGATGTGTGTGTGTGTGATGTTCACTTTCTTTTACAAAGTTGTACTTTTACCTCCCTAGAATGCCCCAACGGAAAGCTTCCGTACATTGAAGTAGCGGGAAAAATGTTCGGAGAGACGCTTCCCATTGTGCGGTTTGTTGGAGCAAAATGTAGTAAGTGCAATTATTTTGTAGTTAGTTGTGTACATTGTATTAAATATTTCAAATCACCATCGAAATAATCTCTAGTTTTATTCAGAGGCCAGGGCCACCATGGGCTGTATGTACTGCCATGGTTTAGTAATCTATGGTGTTGAACTTGTTGACGCTATTGTTGTTGTTGTTGTTGTTGTTGTTAATGCTGCTGCTTTTGTTTTGTGTTGTTTTGGCTGTTGCTGTTGTTGTTATTGTTGGCAGTGCTAATGTTAGTAGCGATGGCGTTGTTCTTCTCGTGGTCTTCGTACACATTGTCTGTCAATTATTATTGTTTGGTTTGTTTTAATTGTAATTGTTGGCATATATAATCACCATAGCATTTTATGTTTCAATAGTTATGAATCATGTTTCATCCTCCTGGCACAGATTTACTGGGGAAAACGGATGAGGAGAAGCTGTACGTGGATATTGTCTTGACGCAAGTCGAACATCTCCGTGATGACGTAAGCCGGCCAAAGACAGACACGCTACTGACCAAAGGACAACGTGTAAGAACAAATAGTATTACTTGTTTGTTGTTTTTTCTCTATCGGTATTGTTCCTAGTCGTGGTGATGGTAGTGGTAGCAGTAGCAGTAGCAGTAGTAGAAGCAGTAGTAGTAGTAGTAGTAGTAGTAGTAGTAGTAGTAGTAGCAGCAGCAGCAGCAGCAGCAGCAGCAGCAGCAGCAGCAGTAGTAGTAGTAGTAGTAGTAGTAGCAGCAGCAGCAGCAGTAGCAGCAGCAGCAGCAGCAGTAGCAGCAGCAGCAGCAGCAGCAGCAGCAGCAGCAGCAGCAGCAGCAGCAGTAGCAGTAGTAGTAGTAGTAGTAGTAGTAGTAGTAGTAGTAGTAGTAGTAGTAGTAGTAGTAGTAGTAATAGTAGTAAGAGGAGGAGGAATATCAACATTATTATCGTAATTTCTCTTTTTTCTTATCATCATTGTGTCATTATAATAATAATAAATATATTATTATAACCGTTATATAAAATATATAAAATCCACGGAACATTTTTGCAGAAATGTCTGGAAGACAAGCTGAGGAGTGAGACGGTGCCGAGATTTCTTCAGAAAATAGAAGCGGGAGTCTCCATGGGCAAGACGGGGTATGTCTTGGGCTCAGAGGTGAGTAGAGTAACCACGACACAGAGAAGTAGTGCGTTTATAGGCGTACTTTGTTGTCGGGTTGTGTACAGTACATGTACATACAGCGTTGCTTCTGTGTCAAGCAAATGCACGTTCTAAATCTGCAGAACATTGGACTTAAGGGGGGGGGGGGGGGGGGGGCTACACCCCCAAAATCAAAATTCGGCTCAAAATCATGGAATTTGAGTTGTAGGCATTTTTAGCTTCCTCAGCCTCTCCTTCAACTATTTCATGGCATAAGAACCCCCAAAAACCGTATTTTTTCCCGTACCGGGCATGTTTGTTACCGCAATTTCCTCATAAAGTCAGTATTTTATTTTTCTTTATCGGCCGTTTTCTCAAAATGCTACTTTTGTCTATACTTTTTTGAATAACTCCACCATTTTTCATCCAATCTTCATGAAATTTTCACAGAATGAAGAGAAGAGGTAATGCTAAAAATTAGTCTGTTGAATTTTTGATATATGGAATAGATTTTTGTTGGTGGTGTCTGGAGTGTGGATTTTCACGGATTTTTCGCACACTTGAATGCTACCTCAGGAAAAAACTCATTAAAAATTGTCTAATTCGTTTAGGAAAAAAACAACAGACAAATTTTTAGATCTAATGTTTGTGAACACGCATGCAAAAAAACCCAATCAATTTCCATGAGTGATAAGTGCGGTATTCATTACGTAAGACATGTCAATAAAATCCAATATGGCGGCGTATCCATGGATACGAAACTTTTTTCTCAAATTTGATTGCGGATTTCAAGACTCCTTACTATGCTTGTTATATGTGTAAAATGTGGTAAAATTCGGTCCAGTAATAAGCGAGATAGCCTCCAGGTGTAGCCCCCCCCCCCCCCCCCCCCCTTAAAAAAAATCCCATTTGATGTCGAAATTTGGGGCGCCCCCCCAAAATTTATTATTTTCGATTAGGCGTTAGTTTGGAAGAAATGGGGTTTTAAATTTCTTTTTTTGTTGGAGCAATCCGTAAAAATGTTTTTCCCCCCAAAAAGAAAAAAAAAAGAAGGGGGGGCTTTGTGTTTATTTGTGTCCCCCCCCCCGGGCGGGTGGGTATTTGTATGGGGGGGGTATTGGTTGGGGGGGAATGTGGGTGGGTGTGAGGGGGGGAGTGAAAGGGGGGGGGGGTTTGGGGGGGGGGGG